ACCGTTGAAAACAATATTTTTTTATTTAAACATTTGTGAAATTATGCCTGGATCTCGCGCCATTATATTTGTGGCTTGACACTTATTGATACCGCCATTATGTCGCAATAAAAGATCAACTTGACATTAGATTATCAAACCATATGAACACTTGACCCACCCGAAGATTTTTTGCCAATAACTTGTTAATAAATCATCAGTAAATTGGCTAATTTTAGGAGTTTAAGATTTCCCTGTATTATTTATTATTGACAATTTGAATATTCCCGTTCTTATTTGTTTGGGTCGTCAGACCAAACAAATAATGGTAGCGAAATAGAGTCTAATGTCTAATTCAGAGTCTAATTGCAAATGCCGAAAGTAGTCCACTTTTTTGAAACGGTTACTTCCCTTTATATGTACACTAACGCCGAAAAATTCAGGGGAGATCACTGCGTAAAGATGGTCAAAGACAGGCGCATTAATTTTCAAGCAAAATAATTTCCGAATGGTCGAAGATTTCTAATATTGTTTTATTGAATTTTCTGATCGAAAATAAGTAAATACAAAGCGGACATTCAATCTCTGACACAGAAGTTTAAGACAAACCTAACAACAAGTAGTTCTCAAAACAGCTTAAAACTAGCGATTTAAAAGAAAGAAATATTTTTATTTTGTTACAAGTATCCAACAAATTACAACGAATTCAAAGTTTAAAAATAGCGTTGGCTTATAGAATTGTCAATAAATGCACAATCACAAATTACGCGGATGAATATGATTTTATCAATGAAAATACTATTTTTAGCGATGTCGATTACCGAATACTACACAAACCGAGTAGTGGAATATATAGATTCTACATGTCGGACTGTTTGGGCGAGAAAATTTTCGCTAAATTATTTACTTCAATTTTAAACAACAGGTTTATCCTGAACAAAAAACCCCGAAATTAATAAGGATTACAAACCCGGAATGCAATGGAAGTTCTAAATCTAGAATGACTTGATGTTATTCAGACGTTGTTAGTATAACTTCTCCGTGGTGCAGGGGTAACGCGCTCGCTTAGTATGTGAGAGGTCTGGAGTTCAAATCCCAGCCGAGAAAACTTTTTTTTAAATTTTTTTTAAGTGTCTTTGTTAAGGAAGTAGCCATGATATGCAAGTGTGGCTGTCGTAAAAAAATGAACATAAATGATTTTTTGATGCAACTCTAGTTATGCAGAATTCGTATTTATCAAACTCTGGTGCCTTGCAAAATGAATTATAATACATAAAAATAAACTTATACAGGAAAATACATACAGATATACAGTACGATTTAGATTGCAAAGATCAGAAAATACCACAGAACTTGCAGACCTTTGATTCTTTATTAATACACATGCTTAAAGTAAGCTCCAGGATTATTTACATCTGTGTTTAACAACAGTTAAAGTCGTTACAAGCCCTAATTTTTCTTCAGGCCGTTCACATAAAAATTCACCGTGGCTGAAGGGTTTTTGCGCTCGCTTAGGAAGCGAGAGGTCTGGAATTCAAATCCCAGTAAAGGCAACTCATTTTTTTTCTCAAATTGTTCAAGTCAAATAAACATTGGATTAAATATCAGTGTTGCATTTAGTCTTATAGCCAATTTACTACAATTAAAACGCTGGAAAGCATTGGTGGCACTTTCTTACATTCTGAGACCCAAACAAATTCAGCGCCTTCTGTGCTTTGATTGTATTACTGACAATTTGAATAATTAAATGATTATCTATAACTTAAGAATACGTATTTTATGTTCACCACTGAGAAGGTACCTAAAAATATATGAATTATAACCCAAATATTGTCTTGTTTTCACAATACATTGGGGCACGAGGAATATGTCAAAATGACAGTTTAAAGAAACAGAACGCAAAACGAGTATATTCATTTATAATATTACACGATTACAAAGTCATCATTTTAGAAATGAGCTCTTGATTATTTAAATTGAAGACGAATCCCTTCCTCGTTAGAAAAAAAAAGAAACTGTCAGAACAGTGTTACATTGAATGTTACTTTTTATATTCGCCAATTAGTTTTTAAAACTAAGGTTGTATAATTTAATACCAATTTTATATTGTCTTCCTGTCCTATCGTACAAATGACAATGTATTAAAACATATGTACCGTATATATGTTATGAATATTGTGATTTTTTGTATACAACTTTTCACCTCAAGGATTTACGTTAACATGTTAAATGATAAGCGTAAACATTATCTTAACCTTAAGTTAGTCTTATCAAAATTTTTAATTTCCTTTATCAGTGCTTTAAGTGTGAATAGCAGCGACAGAAAAAAGACGGAATTTATTTGAGAATAATTAGATATTTTAATGTTTCAAAAATCAGTTTTTATAATTATGATGTTATTGAAATAAATGATAATTTGTACTTATCAAAGTTGCACGCCTCCAGATGAGCAAAAATATTTCAAGAAAATCAATATTGAGAAAAATGTACTAAACTTTTAAGAAAAGTAAAAACATTCAAGATCCAAGTGATATTTTACATGTTATATGCGGTTTAAGACTGCTTGTACAGTATTTAATCACCATATGTCTACTACGTTACTAACGCAGTAAGGGCTGTTTTTTGCATATGTTGACCACTTTTTGGTAATTGTCTTGGATTGTAAGTTCCGATTGCAATATGTAAATTGCTTTATTTTTTTCATCTCACAATAGTTTACTTTTAAATGCATTCCAAAATTTTGATGGAAATGAATGTGAATCTGGTGGCATGCTGCTTTAACTAAATATCTCAAACAAATATTTTTTATAAATTATCATTATAAACAGGTTGACCTCTTCAGGTGTGTATTATATCATTTCTAATAGCAATTTAAACAGAAATTTGAGGACCAGTGATAGCACTTATAGTGTTAAAACACGGATTAACTACTGGCCACAACTATCAACACACACATGATAGGAGTCAAAACAATGTCGTTAGCTTTCCCAAAGACACATATCAAATAACCCCAGAATGACTCTCTTCTTGCAGTGAAACAGTTGTACATGACACGGGGACGGTCAAGAGAAGTAACTTTGTTTATATATATTGGTCATGTCTTTATGTGGACTAGGAGCATTGACCAAATATAACGGATGCATTAAAGTACTCACATTATTTCCGAAACTATCATTGAACTTATAAATCGTTGCAGCCGATATACGCTAAGTTGGAAGTTATAACAGGGTCACTCGAAACGAAAGCCCGGTCATTATTTGACATAATAATTAAAGTTAATTTTAAATAGGATACTTTTTTGTGATTTCCTGCAAAAAAACAACAACATTCAAGTAGGCGACAAAACGAGCAAATACGACTTATAAATATTTGTTTGAACAATTTTCCTTGCAATATTTATAATTTTCAAGTAATTATAATTTTCGGTTAAATATACGTACCTTGTTAAAATTTCGAATATTTAATGATATATAATTATCAAACACTTCAAATTTAATGCATATAACAAAGATCCATGGGGTTTGACAATGCGACGTATGTAATATTTCTTTATACATGTATGTAACGCCCCGATTGGCATTGGTAAAATGGCATTTATGGCAATTTCCACATAACATTGTATTTTCAGTCATGGAACGAATAAAAGGTCTACACAATCAAATGGTTCATAGAATATACATATGAATTGACAGGTCCATAACTTTGTTTCACTAATGCCCTGATGTCTGTATTCCCGTAGTAGGTGCCTAAACTGTTGCAGCGTGACGTCATTTGTCCCTTCGACATTTCTATAATTTTTTTTGAAATACGGTGGCTGCCCTTATGTATTTTGTGTACCATACATTCGGATAAGTAATTCCTAAGATATATGTAAATTGAATGCAAGAATGATAAATATTTGTTTGTAAAATATCTGATTGTTAAAATAGCATTTTCACTGGTATGTAATGTAGTATTCTCGAGTGAATAAACTGTGTCACTCTCAGCTACAACATTTGTATAATACACGGAATAGAAACTGGTCTCTTTTCTGTAGCGGATTTTTACTGATATGTATTGGTATATATAAAAAATTCCTCTTTCAATACAAGGTTTGCGTTCTAGAATTACTTGAAATACATTGTACAACGAAAGTGGGATATTATGCCCAAGTTTTTGAAAAAAATCAGTATATCTACAAAATCTTTAAATTAATTACATTATTTGAGCTGCAATTTTAAACAAATATGAAAACTCTTTCTTCTAAAAAAGTATCAAAAAAACTTTTGTTCTGTATTTATTGCGAAATTGAAATTGAACGGACAACATGTAAAATGGATATAAAAACGCATGTGATGTCGTGTGAAATAAGAAAACAAATGAATTTTGCTTTTGTTAAATTGCGAAAGGAAGAAATGGTATATAAGAAAAAATATACAGTGAATGAATGAATATACATTGAAGGTCCATTATGCTATCATTTTTATTTCTGAAAAAACATTTTAATTTTTGTATCTTGTTACAATTGCATCTAGTTACATTTATACTCATACTCATAAAAATATATATAATATATATTAACTATCATTTACTTCTTTCGCTCTGTTAGCAATTGATATAATTTTATTGACTTAGTATTTTGTATATTTTTAATAGTAGTCAAAATACTTCTTTGTTTACTTCTTTTACGGCACATCACTGTATATTCAGTGCTATTTTCTTCAGTTGCTCAACATCAAACATGCTCTAAATCCGTTATTTAACAATTTTTTTTTGACATGCCTAAAGAAAAAGGAAAACATGAATTTCTTAGGCATAACGTGCCTTTAATGATATTAATTTAAATGTAAATAAAATGCCGAATGGATGTATATGAATCAGTAGTTTACATATGTCAAAACAAGCGAGGAGTAACTTAAATAAATATATGACATACTTTGAAAATACTCCTTTTACACTTTGTGTAATATTAAATGTTTTAAAGTACGAAAAAAACAAATATGATTTTCTTACGCCATATAATTAAATGATGCCAAGAATACGGTGTGAAATAAAAATTAAAGATGAACATACATACATGTATATGACATTAAATGTACTTAATAAATGCCTATGAAAACCTGTTGAAACAATTTAAACTAGTATCTCATTTTTCAAATGATAAACACATAAGTTGTATAATTTATGAATGGATAAATGATTCTTGTCCAAATGATACACGTGCATTGAGCTTGAGACAATTTTAAGTACACTATATCTCAGGCTTAAAAGTATCGGTTTGACATGGTTTCAATTATCAGAAGTGAATGCATTCAATTCAGTGGTGCTCTTCGGTGCAACACGTTCGGTTTTGGAAATTCGCTCGTTGTTAAACTTTTCATTCCTTCCGGTGTCTCCTGCTATATCTTCTGAGGCAATCCTTGCTCGTTTCCTAAATAATGATAACAAAAAAACTCAGACCATTTATCGATTTAGATTCTGAGATATTTCTTTAATTCTCTTTTATGTACAATGGATACAATAACTGCTACGTAAACAATAATAGAATAATCAGATAAAGATATTTATAGAATATACTGTAGAACAGTACAATATAAAAGGTAATGGGGACCTTTTTTCAAATCACTATTAAAAAGGAAAGGTTGTCTCATCTCAAACGTTAAATCTACTTAAATTGAATAAAGAAAGTAGAAAGTTACCTCGGTTACTCTGTACATTAACTTATATAGAATAATGATTCACCTTTCACACGCAATAACATTTCGCTTATAATTGATACATTCACTTTTATTTCTTAAATAAGAAAATAAGTGAGCTTTTACGTAGACATATCAAGATAATTGACAAGACATGATCTTTGTCACATAACATCCGAGGCTGTCGATTATCTCACACTTCCTTATTAATCAACAATATTTTGATTTCAATTTTTTATACATAAAGATAATATAAGCAATCATCCCCTGAAATTTAGCAATTGTTGTTCTTTAAAGATATACTATGCTCAAATTTGTTATTAGAAACACTGATGATTTCTACACAGTCTTTTTGTACATATAAAATAAACATGGTTTGACTTGACAGAGTGTATACATGTATATGTTATGTAAAAAATCCTCCACATTTTAGGCGGTCACAATACGAATATATAGTGTCATTAAAAACTTGCTTGAAACGCAGCTTCCAATACATTGTTTTTTTTTTCTGTGATTACAATATTTAAATCAATGATGAGCATATTATATCTAGTAGAAACAATGAAATGTAAATGGTCAGATAAGATTTTAACTATAATGTACACAGGGATTAGTACATACCTTGTTTATTGTTCTGTTGTTGATATATACATATTAAACAGTAATACTAGATCATTTATACTGCGTATTGAACAATTGTCAATGAAACTATCATGAACACATTGTAAAGAACACTTGTGAAGATGAGAGAAATAGTCAGTTAAATGTTACCTTTTGTAAAGGTAGATACCAATAACAACTGCAATTGCAATAATAACCCCGCCAACACTTGCTCCAACAATAATTGGCAATCCATCTTTTGTTTCTTTCATTGCGAGACTGCTGTCATTTGTTGTTTCCGTTGTATTTGTTGTTTTTACCGTCGTCTTTTTTGTCGTCGTTTTGGTAACCACAGTTTGTTTGTATGTTTCGTACTTGATTCCATGGGTTATTTTAGACGAAGATCTATACATTTCAGTATTTGTTAATTCTGGTCTGACCTTGGTTGGTAGTTCAGTCGTGTCATTTGTTGCTGGATCCGCTGTATTTCCTTTTGTTACCGTCGTCTTTTTTGCTGTCGTTTTGTTAATCGCAGTTTGATTGTATGTTTTTCCACGGGTTATTTTAGACGAAGATCTATACATTTTAGTAGTTGTTAATTCTGGACTGACCATGGTTGTTTGTTCAGTCGTGTCATTTGGTGCTGCACCCGTTGTATTTCCTTTTTCTACCGTCGTCTTTTTTGTTGTCGGTTTGGTAATCGCAGTTTGATTGTATGTTGTTTCACGGGTTATTTTAGACGAAGGTCTATAAATTTCAGTAGTTGTTATTTCTGGTCTGACCTTGGTTGTTTGTTCAATCGTGACAGTAATGTCTAAAGTTTCGTTACAAGTTTTGCTTGTCCATCCAGTTTCGCATGTACAGTTGTACGAACCATAACTATTAGAGCAAATTCCATGTACACATGATGTGTTTAGAATGCATTCATCAACGTCCGAAGTGCAGTTCTCACCTTTATAACCAAGTTGACATGCACATTTATACGTTCTGTCGTTATCATTTCCTGTTTTTGAACATTTTCCTTGATTTTCACAAGGATTTAATCTGCATGAATTATAATGCGTGCAGTTTTCACCTTCCCATGGTTCAATACAATTACAAATATACGAACCATTAGTATTGCTACAGTTTCCACCATTCTTGCATATATTCTTATCTAGTTCACATTCGTCTATGTCCTTGTCGCATGGGTCGTCATTATGTGTGTGAGTCCATCCTTTATCACAGTAACATCTGGAAAATAACACACATTAAAAACATTCCTTACCTTGCGCAACAATTATAACAATGTCACTTTTAAGATACGCAGATGTCATTTCTTCTGTTTGAATAACAGGAGGAAGGAAAATCCCTCAAGAGCAATAGAAACGAATCAGTAAAACACTACAGGCTATATTGTTAGAGATTATGTAAGGTGCATCAAACAAGAGTTTTCATGAATGATACTGGAATGTTTAACAAATACTGAAGATGTTCAGTGAGAATTACTAACCTTTTCATAGGAAACTTTTGAATAAAAATGTAGTTAATTTCTTTTAATAAAAAACGTTTACATAATGCATACAATATCAAACTTGAAGCACAGAAATGTGTAAATGGAGATATAAAATTCCATTCAAATTGACTTTGTCTTAAAATCTGATACATACATGTACATGTATATTATTTGACAAAGGTACCTCGATTTTTCCTGGAGAATTAAATATACATTGATATAGACAATAATGAAATTGAAATAAATCCCATTTAGCAACAAGAATAACAATGCATAAAAGTAATAATTTAATGTCTTTAGAACATTTTAGACAAAACCTGTTATCTGAATATAGATACTACTAAATTTATGTACTGAATTAAAATTATTATTTGCGAAATACGAATACCAGTTAGAATATAAAGAATATAATTTTACACGTTTTACTGCATTTAAAACTAAAAATGTGAATTTCGGGGGGGGGGAAGGGGGCTGGGGGTTAGAGAGAAAACAAAATTATAACTCACGTAAAATTCTTATTTGTGCCACTACTGTTTAAAGCGTAACCATGATCACATAAAGCAATGTTACATAGAAATCCGCTATATCCAGGTAAACACTCCGGTTTGCTTGTAAGATTATGTTGACAATGATCTCCTGTCCAAGAGTTGAGACAGTTACACCTTTTAATTAAATGAATGAAGCAAGTAGATATTTAACTTCCCAAATTCATTTACATAGACACATTACGTCAATCAATATGTAACAAAAATAAGTCATTTAATTAATAACATTATGAAGAAAAAGTCGTTTGGTTATAAGCGTTGTACACGTATAAGATCACGCCATAAGAATCAATGTCAAACGTTAAAATAACTTGACTGTAGCATAGATAACAATAATTAAATATTAGTGTTTGAAAATAGGATTGCAGTTTTTCAAATGAATCGTAACACATTTATTTTGATAAATCGGTAAACTGTTAATCAGTCTAGTTAATCCACAGTTTATAAAAATAATTTAAAACACTAAGCTGGTAAAAATTAATTAGTACGTATTTACCTGACCAATTTAATTTTGTAAATGCGTACTAATAAATTTTAACCTTTACTATATGGTACTACAATTTCTACATAAAACATTTTAGAAATCACTCTGGAAACAATTATTAAATTACTACTTTTTAAACTTTTTTAAAAAAATTTTTTCACCTTAATTAAGGGGGGGGGGATTTTAAACCCCTTTTTTAAACAAGGAAATTTTCGTTTATTCTGTAAAAATTTAAATTTTCATAGTTTACACCAAAAAATAAAAGAAGCACAAATTTATCATCTCAAATTTCCCTGTAACTTCCGGCGGTTTTTACAAAAACCTTTGGTTTAAGACATGGATCTTTTTGTACCCACAGAGGATCATTTTAATCATAAAAGTCTTTTTCACGGGGGCCCTTAGAAGGGGAAAATAACATTAAAAAAAGGTTTCAAAAACGAAATATATACCCAAGGGAATTTTAAGGTTGTCAACTGAATAAATTACTTGGGGCCCTAAAAAAGGACAAAATTGGGAAAATTTTTAATTAAACAAATTTATATTTTGTCATATTACCCCTCATTTTGTTTTACAAATGGAAACCATATCATCTTATTTGAAGCAATTTGTTGGTCTTACATGACTTTCTTTTTATATTGAATTTATTAAGCAAGTACTATATCTAGTATTATATTACCTTTGAAAACAGACTTACATTGAAAATAGAAATAAATTATTGTAAGATTATTTGTATGTGTTATTTAAACTGTTAAAGTCTTAAAAATACATTTATGTCAATAGTAGGCACACTTACTCTTTATTTCAATTGAGGTCAGTTACTTATGCTGTTAAACATGCATTGACACAAAAATAGCGCAACATTTTTATTTTTAAAAATATGTACTTCAAGATACATCCTTTGAAATAATAAACATTTCCTGATATCATTTATGGCGACATTGTTGGCATAAATGTGTGTGCATTACCGGATGCAGTAAGGTAAAACCACAATGAATTACTTTCGTTTCCTGTTCTTGGATGCTTTTTTCTTTAAGAACTGATTAAGGATTTAACAAAACAAATTATAATTTAACCAAATTCCTTTATGTTTATTTTCTAATTATTAATTTCAGCATGATTAATTATTTTTTTCTAAATGAAGGTGATGTACTTATGAAATAATATTTTCGTAAGTATTTTCGAGATGAAAGGTTTGTATTATTACTGATAAAAAATTAACTTGTTTGCCTGTGCAGGCTTAATGGTATCCCCCTAAGACTTAATGGACCATAGAACCTTGTCATTTCTTTTTTCACATTATTTTACTGTATGGAATAAGTTGCTAAATAATGAAGCAAGTGGTTTGACGCGAATTTCATTGCAACCCATCGACGGCAGGTTCTGCGCAACAGGACTTCAGCAGTTAAAGATTTTATAAAGCTTTGCTTAAAGCGGTTTCCTTTTCCGATTGCTACTCAAAATGCTCACTGATATTTTCGTTATTTCCTTAGGATAGTTGCTTTCTGTATCTTTAGCACTGTTGCTTTATTCGCTGTTGATGCATTTGTAAATTTTTAAACTCTCTGTTTTAGACCTCATTTTCAAATTCAGCAGCTTCCAATCAACTCTCTCATTCTCACATTAGTCAAAGCAAAAATACTTTAAATCTCCGGCTTATTAACGCAGCAACCTCTTCTTCCTTCTGGTGCAACATAGCAGCATATGCATTCTTTGTTTTTTTATATTATACTGTTAAGATTTACAAACATTTACAAAAAAATTGTTTTCTTTACTTTACTTCTGATGCCGTCTGTACTAATATGTTATTTTAAAAATGAAATGTACAACGAAACCCTTACTAAGACTATCGTATACTTTTTCATATATCCCTGAATAGTTCTGACTACTTAATCACAAATGTAAACAAAATAATTGCTAAAGTTGATGGTTTTAAAAAGTGGAGATTCGACAGAGTTTAAGTTCAAGTATATTTTGTTATTCGGATAGAATTAAAGATGTTGCAGGCTTAAATTCATTGAGCACGGGCGAAAGTGGAAAGTACAGGCTACCTACCACGCCCAATAACATCGGTTTAGCACTATACAAGACAAAAATAAGTTAAATGATGATGCTGCATATCAAAAAACGCCGCAAAATGATGTGAACAGTCACAGGTAATGTTCAAAATCTGAATTGTAAATCGTTCTCTTTTATAGTTGAATATCCGAAGCACTAATCAATTTTTTTCCATGTTCATGTTATGTGTCTGAAAGTCTGAAATGTTTGTCTGTTGCGACAATGATTAAAACGCCTAGTCGAAGCAAAATAAATTGGATAACAAGAAAAATTGAAATGATTCGTAAACTTAATTGAATTCAAGAGATATATGCCGAGAAATGTCCATTTAAATATTGGTGCGAATTGCATAATGTTCGTTCGAATGAATTTGAGGACGAACTGTCTCTTATTTTACAAATAGCAAAAATATGTTCGTATTATCAAATACTAGTTATGAATAAATTAAAATAAATATAAATATATATATATATATATATATATATTATATATATATATATATATATATATAATATATATATATATATATATATATATATATATATATATATATATATATAATCAATAATTGTAACGTTTTGGTTTTCTTATTTATAAAAATATCAAATTACTTGATTAAACTAAAGATTGCATATTCGCCTAAAATCTAGGTATAGGACCACTAAATGTAGTAAAAAATCAAGGTGAAAGAGAACAATCGTCAGTCACAGAATCCTTCAAAATGACCTATTGCAAATATTTGCGAAACTAAATAGATAAAATTTAAGGGGATCCATGATAGTAAAGCCGACAAGCACTGATTAGTCGTCAGAAGAAAATTTGAAAAATAGAACGGGCAGCATACACCTACACTTGTCGAGCAAGATACAATTATTATTCTAATTTACTATTAACAAGGTCTAGAAAAATATGATAGTGAGCGTTTCCCTGTAAGATCAAGCAAATTGTTAATAAATTGAAGTCAAAAAGAGCTGAACAGCAGCAATACAAACATATGAATTACATTGAATAGGATATAATAGAATAGAATGACGAAACCTTTGTTGCAGTAAAGAATGAGAAATTAACTTTAAAAAATATATCTTACCTGCTTGCAAAGACAATCACCTGACTTGTTTGTATACGTGCATCTTGTTAAATTTGTACAAAAGTGACTGTCACAGTGGCTTGTTTCTTTTGTCTGATTATGAAAAATAATATGGGGTTTTGTTGTTGTTTTAGCTCACCTATGGTGAGCTTTTTTTATAATAGCATTGTTTGTCGTTCGTCGTATGTCGTTGTCAACAATTTCTTTCTATCAAACTTCTCGCTCGGTTCTTACCAAACTTCACAGGAATGATCCTTACAAAGTTACATAAAAAGTTTTAATCCGTTATCGAAGCTCAAATATACTTTAAATCTACTACTCAGCAACTACAATGCCTAGAGCTTAGGCATGTAGCATCACAAAAGTTTTATAAATCAGGCCCCTGAGATAAAAAAAAAATGACCCCGCTCTAAGGGCCACTTCGATTACATGAAAATACACTTATTTACTGCAATGTCGGAGCCTAGATAATTGGCAATGCCAAATGGATCTCTTCAAAAAATTTATAAATCATACCCCTACGGTCAAAATTGTTCCCGCCCATAGGGTCATTAAGATTATATTCTTGTATAGTAAAATAAATTTCTAAAATAAGGCTCCACCTCAGTCAGAATCTGCAATGTCTGTACTTTAGATTAGGCATGTAGTATCGCCTTAAAGCCCTCTACAAAATATATATATAAATCATGCACAAGGGGTTAAAATGGGCCCACCCTAGAGCTCACTTAGTTGAAAGGCTTATATAGGAAACACATTTAAGTCTTTATTTAGGAAACTGCAATGCCCAGAAATAAGATATTTAGCATGTAGCATTGCCAAGTGGACCTTTACGAATGTCATGTGAATCATGTCTCTGGGGTCAAAATTTGGTTCGGACCTTTGGTCACTTAGTTTATATAGACTTATATTGTAAAAACGTCTTAAAAGGTTTCTCCCCGTCGTGATCTGCAATGCCTAAAGCTTAGATATGTAGCATTTATCATCAACTTGTGGTGTTATACAAAAAGTTATTAAATCATGCTCCTTGAAATGAAATTTGACCGTGCCAATTGGGTCACTTAGTTTATATACATTGGTTAGAAAAATACATTTAAGTCTTCTTTTGTGGAACGACAATGCCGAGAGTTAACATAATTTGCATATAGCATTAACAAGTAAACTCCTACAAATGTTATATTTGCTAAACTACCAAAAACACTCAGAAGGGTTAAATGTTTGTATTTGAAACATTTAAATTGACTGTATGCTATCCGTAAATTAACATTCATTTATTTGTATGTTAATTTATAATTTGAATACCTTTCCCAACTATGGATGTCTATAAACGAAAGTGCTTTTAATGTTGTTTTTCCTTTTTTCCATTTGTAAAGGATAAAGGGCTTTTATTTCATTTTTATGTCTATTTGAAATTAAAAGTGTCATTTATAAAGCTAAATAGATTGTAATTTACAATGACTCTAATGGAGAGTGTATGAGATATTTGTGACTAAAAGAAACCTAAGGTCGTTTGATAACCATGAAAATGAGAATTTAAAAAATGCCTGTTTGAAATAATGCCAAAAATAATATAATATAAATAGCTGCCCGGTATTTAATTCATAAATTCTTAATTTATGATACAAAGAACCTCTAGTTATACTGCAGTTACTGTATATTTTTCAGCTAGGCAGTCAACATATATGGTGCTGTGTCCTGAGACACAATCGCTCTTGAAGCTCTTTCAGTGCTTTGATATCGATTTTTAGAATTTTCTTTTCCAATTTTTGGTCAGTATGACCTTTGTACAGGAAACCAACGACAGGACTTAAAATGCTTGCATACGCCCGCATGTAAAATTCGTTTGTATGTTATTTTGAATTTTTCAAATATGACCACTTATAAAGGCAATGTTTATTAAACACTTGGTTGTAGGTTTCAGGATCCTAAATTCTAATTTGATGAAATTATTGAAGATATGCACAATGTATCTATAAACTTGTAATGTGAAATCCGCTTGAACAAAACATGTTTGTTTATTGAAACATTATTTGGGCATTACAAAATGAAATATTTTTACAGTATTGACAGAAACATATTTTGTTTTGTATTTGAATAAATGAGTTGGAAAAAAACGACCAGGATAGTCGCCTGTCAAATTTCAAAATATGTTCTTTACAAGTTTATATGTTCAATAGCTTCGTCAAATTAGGAAACTGACACCTTAACCTATTGTATCATAAAATTGCCTTTATGAATGGGCATATTCGAAAAATTCAAAATAACATACAAACCAACTTTCTTGGAGATACGCGCGAGCCTTATAAATATTCATGAATAGGTGCCGTTTTGTCAAGTTTGCAACCATTTCGCTTGCTTGAACCATGTGTACATGCATTTCATGTCCTGTCCATTGTAAAAGCAAACGGGGTTTTCAAATCTTAATCTGGTAAGGAAATAAAATAAGCAATTTCTAAACAAAATGTGATTGATGACATATAAAATATTATATTGGTTTGATAAGATATAAAATATTTCTAACAGATTAATTTCAATCGAATGAAAATGTCTTGATCAACAAAATCCAATACATTGATTCTCATGGAAAAATACCCACAAACAACAAAACAAAACAAAAACAAAAACAAGCACATAACACTTTAGTGTATGCACTATATTGAAACAAAAATATAATGAATTATTTATTCTATATCTCGTTAAAATAATTTTCTCTTTTTTTCAAATTATTATAACTGTAAAACTTACCGAGTCAATTGAAATTATTGTCTGTATCTGCAATATGAAAACAAATACCAAAAGCGAAATCATCTTCAACATTATTAAAATACCAAGTCAAAATTGTATTCGTGCGTCTGTGTATATCCTTCATACCCTTTCTGTTCTACCTACATCACCAATTTCAAAGGTCAAGATTTATTTAATTGTTTTGAAACCTGTCACTTTAATCAAGTTTGAAGTATTGAATGGTGATAAATCACTTCAAGTACAATGATAACGACAGTTTAAGTGAGACAAAGGGGATTGTTTTCATTGTTACTGTAACAGTAATCATTTAAATTGTCTTTATATGAGATTAAAATGAAGTAATCAGTTTCAACATACTGAAATCAAATACTCACAGTTATAGATTTAAATATACACGTATTATTTGAATAGTCTTATTTTCTTTCCCATAATTTGATGGGTATTAATCCCCTTGATTATTACGACACGCGCTTCAAAGAAGTTGTCTCCATGAACACCGTTTTCAATAATATACATTCAAGGATCACGTTATGATTAAACTTCACCTAATTTGAAGTTAGAATAGTTATTTATTAAATGTCACACATTATATTTGTCACATTGACATAACAACTTATCTTCTGATACGTGTTGCAACAAGAAAATGTTATCAAAGGCTGGTCTGTTTGAACATAAGTTTCGTGACAATAACCTTCATTAAGGGTTGCAGCTGTGTGCTTTTAAAACTCTTTTGAAGACATTGTTATTTTTTACCAAAGAATGCGTTTCTGTTGTAATACATAGATTATTTATTGTAGCGACCTTGGTAAGTTTTTCATTAAGCACGTGATCCCTAAATCCCTAAATATACTCATGTCACAAATGGTTAGTGTTTAAATTTCATTTATATTTTTTACGTATACCATTTAAATTCGCCTTAGCATTTAGCATGACTTTAGAATATCATACCATTTGAATTGCTTGACCCACTCGAAGTGTTTTTGACAATAACTAGTTAATACATCATCGATAAATTGGCTAATTTAAGGTGTTTAAGATTTGACTGTATTATTATTGACCATTTGAATATTCGTTTTTTGTATTACTGACAATTTGAATAATTGAATGATTATCTATGACTTGAGAATGACGCATTTTATATTCACCACTGAGTGTCATTTTATAGAGGGCACCTAAAGAAAAAGCATATGAATTTAAAAGGAATATTATATTGTCTTGTCTTCACAAAACATTAAGACATGAGGAGTATGTCAAACTGATATCTTATAGAAACAGAACGCAAACCGAGTATATTCATATTACACGATTACAAAGTCATCATTTCAGAAATGAGCTATTTATTATTTTAATAAAAGATGAATCCCTTCCTTAGAAGAAAAAAAGAAATTGCAAGAACAGTGTTTCATTAAATGTTACTTTTTAATATTTGTCAATATTTTTTAAATCTAAGGTTGTATAATTTAATAACATTTTTTATATTGTCTTCCCCTCCTATCGTACAAATGACAATGTATTAAAATATATGTACCGTATTTATGTTATGAATATTGTGATTTCTTTGTATACAACTTTTCATCTCAAGAATACTCGTTAACATATTAAATGATAACCGTAAACATTATCTCAGCCTTAAGTAAGTCTTATCAAAATTTCTTTTATCAGTATAGCAGCGACAGAAAAAAACGGAATACATTTGAGAATGATAAGATATGTTACTGTTTCAAAAATCAGTTTTTATAATAATGATATGGTCTTGAAATAAATGATATTTTGAACTAAATAACTAAACATCTCATACAAATATTTTCAAAGATTATCATTATAAATAGGTTGACCTCATCAAGTGTGTATTATATCATTTCTAATAGCAATTTAAACAGAAATCGGATGATTGAATGAAAGCACTTGTTATAGTGTTGAAACACGGATTAACTACTGGTCACGAATATGAACACATTCTCATGGAAGTCAAAAAATGTCATTAAACTAATCCAAAAACATCAAAATCAAATAAGCCCAGCAATGACAAATCTTCTTGAGCAGTGGTTGTGACAACGGGAAGTCGGTCCATTGTGATAATTAGAGAAGTATCTTTGTTAATATATCTTTACTTGGTCATGACTTTATGTGGACTAGGAGCATTGTCTACAAAGCACCAGTCACACCCATACGATCTGATGTTGCTATGGATATCGAGATCACTTGAGACAACAGCGTGAAAGAGAAATGTAAAAACCCGATACTTATTTAATAAAGTAAGGCAAAAAGTTAATAATGATGGCAATAATGTGCTTCAATAATTGTTAGTTTTATATCGGTGCTGAATGACACTTGAAATCTTAAAAATTTAAAACATTATGACCCAATAAAGTACTCACCTTATTTCTGAAACTATCATTGAACTGATAAATCATTGCAGCCGATATCCGAATTATTCCAGAGACAGTCGAAACGAAAACCTGGCCGATTATTTGGCATACTAATCAAAAATTAATTTCAAATAGAATACATTTTTTGTGACTTCCTGCAACAAAACATTCAAGCAGTCGGCAAATCGAGCTAATACGAATTATAAATATTGATTGAAAAATTTTCCTTGCAACGTTTATACGAGATTCCACGAGATAGCTAAGTCGTGGCCACGAGTTACTATGTCGTGGCCACGAGATACTAATTCGTAGCCACGAGATAGCTAAGTCATGGCCACGAGATACTATGTCGTGGCCACGAGTTACTTAGTCGTGGGCACGAGATAGCTAAGTCGTGGCCACGAGATACTATGTCATGGCCACGAGTTACTAAGTCGGGGCCACGAGATGCTAATTCGTGGCCACAAGATAGCTAAGTCATGGCCACGACATAGTATCTCGTGGCCACGAATTACTATGTCCAAGCCACGAGATAGCTAAGACGTGGCCACGAGATAAATAACCAATCAGATTACACCATTTATATGAATTTCCCTAACTAGACATGTGCTTTAGTACAAGGATGTCCCTTCTTCACCAGCCTGTAAAAGTGCCATTTATACAACTTATTGACTGGTCAATAATTTAACAGTTAGCGTCACTATTACCCTGATTTTTGACCCAATGACCTCGAAACTATTAGATGTCATCTACTGATCAGGTGCAATGATTTTCCTGGGTTATATAAACCATGTCTTATCCCTTCTTAATTATTCATCAGGATCCATGTTGTTCGCTATCAGTTTCTCTTGTAATAGGGTTTGTTAGCGCGGATGCGCAGGCTGGTCTGGATCCATGCTGGTCGCAAACGCATAACGTTGGTTTTGTCATGACGCGGCTCATTTATAAAACATATTTTTGACATTCCTAAAGAAAAATATGGATTTCCGAGGCTTAATGTGCCTTTAATGACATAAAATGATTTGCAATTTTTTACATGTAAGTAAAATGCCGATGTATATGAATTAGTAGTTTACATATGTCATAACAAGCGAGGGGTAGCTTAAATGTATGAACTACATCTTTTGTTATGTAAATCGTGAAAAGTACGAAAACAAACATGCATTTTCTTAACAGTAAAAAAAAAACAATATACATTAAATGATGCCGATGAGACGGTGCGAAATATATATTTTGTAAAAATAAATATATGATATTTGATGTACTCAATAAAAGCCTATGAACGTTCTTTTGAAACAATTCAAAATAGTATCTCATTTTTTGATGATGAACACACAAGTTATATAATTTATTAATGATTCTTGTTCACATGATGAACGGGTATTGGGCCTGAAACTCGACGTTTTGTTCTGTATGTATTGCAAAATTCGAAATTGAAAGGACAACATGTATAAAGAAAAAAACACACATGATGTCGTATGAAATATAAAAAAAACAAGTGAATTCACTTATGCGAAATTGTGAAGAAAGTAATGCTGTATAAGAGAAATTTTTCAGTGAAAGAATGAATAAATATTATTAATTGATTTTTGAAATGTAATTAAAATACCGATGTATTTAAATTGGTGCTTAAAATATGCTATAACAAATGAGGAGTAACCTAAATGTATGAATTAGTTCGTAAAATACTCTCTTTAAAAGTATAAAAACATGCATTCTTTAAAGTTTATGACAAAATATACATTTAATGATCAAAAAGATACTATGTGAAATACACCTAAAAGATGAACATACATTCATACATGTATATGAAATTAGATGTACTCAATAAATGCCTATGAAAACCTGTTAAAACAATTTAAACTAGTATCTAATTTTTCAAATGATAAACACATAAGTTGTATAATTTATGAATGGATAAATGATTATTGTCCAAATGATACACGAACATTGAGCTTGAGACAATTTAAAGTGCAATATATCTCAGGCGTAAAAGTATCGGTTTGACATGGTTTCAATCTTCAGAATTGAATGCATTCAATTCAGTGGTGCTCTCCGGTGCAACACGATCGGTTTTGGAAATTCGCTTGATGTTAAACTTTTCATTTCTTCCAGTGTCTCCTGCTATATCTTCCGAGGCAATCCTTGCTCGTTTCCTAAATAATGATAAGAAAAAAACTCAGACCATTTATCAATTTCAATTCTGAGATAAATTTTCAATTCTTTTATATGTACAATATATACAATAATAACAAAATTAAAAACTATGCAAACATTAATATAATAAGAGTATTAAATAAGATAATTGTACTTAATAGTATATACAGTACAATATAAAAGTCAATGTGCACTTTCTTCTAACTGCTTTTAAAAGGAAAGGTTTCTCCTCTCAAACGTAAAATCTTTAAGATTTCGCTTATAATTGATACATTCACTTTTATTTCTTAAAGAAAAAAGTAAGTGTGTTTTACATAGACACAAGATTTATTTACAGCAAGATGATTGACAAGGCATAGCCTCTGTCACATAACATCCGATGTTGTTGACTATCTCACCACTTCCTTATCAATAAAAGTATTTTGATTTCAAATTTCATTTTTTATTAATATAATTAATAAATTATCCACTGAAATAAAGCAACGCTGGTTCTTTAACTCTGAGTTCATGAACCAATGAAATGTAAATGGTAAGTAATTGCGTATTCATTTGCAATCATTTTAACCATTCATAACAATTTATTTATTGTACCTTTGCTAGTTAGTTTTTACATATTAATTAGTGATACTTAAACATTAATACTGTAGTGTATTTAACAATGCAAATGAACTTATCATGAACATATTTTAAAGAACATTTTTGAAGATAAGGCAATGATTAGTTAAATGTTACCTTTTGTATAGGTATATACCAACAACTGCAACTGCAATAGTAACCCCGCCAACACTTGCTCCAACAATAATTGGCAATCCGTCTTTTGTTTCTTTCATTGCAAGACTGCTGTCATTTGTTGTTTCAGTTGTATTTGTTGTCGTTTTATTTAAAGTTTTGTTACAACTTTTGCTTGTCCATCCAATTTCGCATGTGCATTTGTACGAACCAATACTATTGGAGCAATTTCCATGTACGCATATACTAGTTGTGTTAAGAGAGCACTCATCAACGTCCAAAGTGCAGTTTTTACCTTTATAACCAAGTTGACATGTACATTTATACGTTCTGTCGGTATCATTTCCTGTTTTTGCACATTCTCCCTGATTTGCACAAGGATTTGATCTGCATGAATTATAATATGTGCAGTTTTCACCTTCCCATTGTCCAATACAATTACATATGTATGAACCATTAGTGTTGCTGCAGCTGCCACCATTCTTACATATATTCGGATATAGTTTACATTCGTCTATGTCCTTGTCACATGGATCATTAGTATGAGTGTGATTCCATCCTTTATCACAATAACATCTAAAAAACAAGTATAGTCTTATTTATAACACAGAATTGTGCAAAAAGTAAAGCCTAATTGAGGAAA